TGTTATCTATTTCCTTTCTAATGACACCGTTTCTTATACTTGTGCACAAAATACTTGGCAAATAGTTGTCACTAACTCTGATAAATTTGCTAGCATAGTTGTAGCTATGGTACGAGAACACGCGCCTGTTACTTTGGACTTTCATACAGGTACATTTGTAAATATGATAACTTTATTTGTTATTGTTGTTTATGTTATCTATTTCCTTTCTAATGACACCGTTTCTTATACTTGTGCACAAAATACTGCAAAGGTTCAATTTGAGTGATTTCCATTAAAAAAAATGACATTACAATGTATGGGAAAGTATTGGAGAACATTCAAATCAAGATTCAGAAAAGAAATCAGAATTCAAACAACATCATCTGTGAATAGAACTCGTACTATTTCCCTTCTTAGACCGAAGAATGTAAATTCTAAAGAAGCATGGAAAAAATTTGTAGAAGATACTCTTTCTAATGACTTTCAAGTAAGTTGTATTCTCATTCTTGTTAAAATTTATTTGATTATTGTTGTTTATTTTATTTTTTTGTTTTCTTAATAGGAGAAAAGTACCAAGTCTTGAATAATATGTTTGGCATCTCATGTACAGGCATATCAAGAGCAAACAAAGGAGAAAGACGTTCACAAATTGCACAAGGTTTAATCCTGATGGCTGTATTTCAATCTCAGTGAAGATTATGTTTGTATCCTCCTCTCCTATGCCGAGAGATAGAGAAACATGTTGCATGATGTGTAATGTAGTAAACAATGTGGAAAGTTCCCAGTGTTTATTGCGTTTTGAAGGAGCAATGGTACATTATGTTTATTGTATATGGATTAAAAATTTCGTAATGAAGTTATAATTTTCATTTCATATCGTCTTAAACCACTTGTGCGTAAATAAATGATGTTTGTTTTTATTTTTTGTTGGTCAATAAACATAGAATAAAACAGGGGGACAATGGACCTGTGAATGTTGCAAAAAAAAAAATAAGAAAAGTAAAGACAACGTTCGTTGAACATTGCAAAAAAATAAATGAAGAGTTTTCGCAACGGCCATTGAATGCTGCAAAAATGTTAAAAGGCAACAGTCTTTGAAAGCTGCAAAAAGAGTTTTAGCAACGGACAATAAACGCTGCAAAAAGTGTTTTCGCAACGGACTTTGAACGCTGCAAAAAGTGTTTTCGCAACGAACATTGAACACTGCAAAAGGTTAAAGGCAACGGTTTTTGAACGCTACAAAAAGGTTCCACTCTATGGCAACATCAAAGCCCCGCAACATACCCCTGAACGCTGCAAAAGGTCAATGACAACGTTTTTTGACCGCTGCAAAAGCCCCTTTTTGGTGTAGTGTTGGACAATAACTTGACAAGGACAAGGTGGCAACAGCAACACTGCAGGAACCACAATCTTTAACGGGATCTCGACTGCAGTTCATCCAAGTACAGAAGTCACATTTAGTGAAAGCCCAGACGAGGATTTTGTGAAGTCCAACAACTTTTCCTACGCAGTGGTTGTGGTAGGAGAACCTCCATATGCCGAATCTGCAGGGGACAATTCGAACCTTACTATTCATCAACAAGGTTTAGACACAATCAAGAATTTTTGTGGCAATGTCAAGTGTGTGGTTGTTCTTGTATCCGGTCGACCTTTAGTGATTCAGCCCTACCTCAAGAATATTGATGCATTATCAGCTTGATTTCAATTTCATTTGTTCAACTCCATTTGGGAAGAAAAAATTAAATTCAAGAATAGCAATAGACATGCCATGGCTTTTGTCTATTTTTCCAGAGAAAAAAGAAAAGGTAAAAAATTCTACTACCAGCAGAGTCAGTAAACGTGGCCGTTGATGCTCGTCGAGTATTGACTCTGTCACTGATGAAATTTGTAGTCTTGAGGGATTTCATCAATACCTGTCAACTCTACTCATGTTAACAAGAACAGTTTATGCCCCCTTCATTCCTTTTCTAAACAAAAGTGATAATATGTCAAACAATTAATTATTCGACAAGGGACCTGGATTTTTAACCAATTAAACAACATGCAAAATATTGCATTTCAATGCACTTTTGAATGTGGTACTATGTTTGGTTGACGTGACAAAAAAAATTTGAAAATGTCCATCTAATGTAAATTTTTTTTTAGACGAATTGAGTTAGCAAATTTTTTTCTCTCTCCTACTAAATATACGATGAAATTTGAACCTAAAAATCTATTTATTAAATTATAATGTCACATATAAACTGATGCCTTTTTATTTAAACATTATCTATTCTCCTATTTGATATAGTTAAAAATCAGAATTTTTAGGAAACATTGTTAAAAATTGATAAAATATATGATTGAAAAGTTGATAAAAGTTATGAATCTCATGAACATATAATTAAAATTAATGGTTCATTTTGACTTAGAATTTTATGAAAAAATTTAGCTACAACAAATGAGGAGTATATGGTGATTTACGTGATGCATTGGACGTCACTATATATTAAAAAAGACTAAGCAAATCTCACACACGTGTCACAATTTCCCATCGTCGTCAAAAATCCCTTGAAATTCGTCAAAAATTTCCGCACAGCCTTCTACTTCTCCATATCTCACGCAACCAACCACTCTTCCTCTATTTTTCCACGCAACCTCCCATCGAATACACCTCAAGTTTGAATTATATTTTCCGGTTATGGGTTGCTATGTTTTCGTTTTTTTCTCTATTCTTCTATCCTCTAATTTTATCAACCAACCTTTTTTTGTAGGATTCGAAGTTTTCGTCATCTGGCGTTTGAGATTGAGAAAGAGATTGCTGATTGAAATAAGGTATTTTAATGCCAATTTTTTTTTTTAAATAGTTTTCAATTTTTTGCTGTGAATGTAGTTTCTATTACCATGAATCTATTGTCATTCTTAAACTCAATTTAACTACATATTTTTGGATTTTTAGTTAATTTAATTGGTGATTGTTGGTATTAAAATTTACGGACATGTTTGACCTTCTATGCATAAATTTAATGTTTTCACATAATAAATTCTGTAGTTGAAGGGTGCTAATATAGTGTTTTGGTGGGTTTAATGCAGATTGGTAGTATTTTGGTTGGAGCAGAAACTATGCACATTAGATTTGGAGTGGAGGTTAAAGCTCTGATGCTCAAGGGTATTGAAGAGCTTGTTGAGCAGCTAAAGTTACCATAGGTTGCAATGGTACTTAATTTTAATATATATTCCACTGGTATCTATTTATTCAAGTTAGTATTTAATTTTCACGTTGTTTCAATTTTTTTCTTGTCAATTATTATTATTATTTTTTTTTGCTTTTTATCTTTACTTTAAGTTGTCTTTCTCTGGTTTATCAAAATTGTAGTTGACTAAAGTTTTGATTGTTTCAATTAGTGAAGGGCGTCATGTAGTGATGGACAAAGTTGGGGTGCCCCTAAAGTGACAAAAACTCGTGTCTTCGTGCATCTGAGACACGAGAATGTGCCTCTGTGCCGCCATGTAGTGATGGGCAAAGTTGGGGTACCCCTAAAGTGACAAAAACCTGTATATCCGTGTCATGCACGGAGACACGAGAATATGCCTACGTTCATGAGAATAAAGTGACAATGACTTGTGTCTCCGTGTGTGGTTCCTTGCGCGCGCGAGGAGATGTGCTGTATCTCCGTGCGTACGCACGGAGGCACAAGAACGTGTCTCCATGCGCGCGCGCGGAGATGTGCTGTGTCTCCGTGCGCATGCATGGAGACACGACCTTGTGTCTCCGTGCCACATGCACATAGACAATTTTTTAATTTTTTAAATTTTTTAACAATGAGATACATTTTCTAAAATTGTCGCAAAACAATTAGGTTGTAGAGAGAGAAAAAAATACGACGGATCAATTGAAAAGGGTGTGTAGAATTTTTTTTTCTTTCTTTTTTAATTGGATTATATTACAACCGAAAACTGTTGCGAAAATCGTCGGGGGCGTTTCTCCCGAACCCCCACGTGTGCTTCAATTCATTGTACTAATTATAGTTAATGTCATCCTTTGAGCTGAGATTCACCTGTTTTTGTGTTTTACTCAATCTGCAAAAGTTTTTCAAAAACAATTTTTCCTCTTCTCAAATACATATTCACTGATGAGCTGATAGTTAATGTCATTTTCCTCTTTGAATTAGTGAACAATTTTGTCAGATTAGATTAATGTTGCATGTCAAATACAATTTTTCCTATTTTCAAAGTTGAATCAAGATACTATATATGTTTTAAAACATAAACCATGTGAATGGATTGCATCTGATAATAATCCTCAAATTGGTTTCTATTTGTATGTTGAGTTTGTAAATATAATTTGTATATCGTGACTTATTCTTTATTTTGTTACACCTTTATTTTTAACATCACCCAGTTAACGTGTAACGCACGTTTGCCACACTAGTGCTATAAATAAGGTTGTTGATGGGCCATTTTATTCAGCCCAGTAAGATAGTCCATTTGATGGCCCAAAAGAAGGTATTAAATAATTGAACCAAAAAAAAAGGAGGAAAATTATTTATTTGTACGATGTTCCATTGGTCCGTGTTCCACACGCGCATATTTAAGCTCGAAATGCAGACAGAGAGATTGCTGGTGGCTCCACCAGCATTTAAAGCTCCCCACCACCCGCCCTTTGTCTCTCTAAGTATCGCCTCAAGATCTTCACTTTGTGTTTACTTTCCCAAGATCCATTTCCCCCCTCTCAATTTCACGTTCTGTATCGCCCTCTCTCTCTCTACTCTTTACAGTTTATGGAGTAATTTACTAGCAGAGATTTGGCTTAGATCACTGCCGCAGTACATGGATCTATGAACTGTACTCTGGAACCAGCTGCATTGTTGTTGCTGTTGAGCTAGGGTTTACTGATTACCGTACTGGATTTAGAATTCGAAGCTCAAAACGATATGAAATCTAGCGGAGAAGTGAATGGAGAGTTTTGTTGGGAAGTGCTTAGTGAAAGGGTTTTGTTCTGAGAACAATGTTTGTGAATTGCCTTACGGAGAGAGAAGATGCTTATTTTTCTTCTTCATCTGCTCACTCTGCTTCCTACTAATTTCGGTAATTTTTGGCTTCTACTTATTTTTTCTGCTTGCTCTGCTCCCTACTAATTATGATGTTTTATGTATTGGTGGTTATAGAGAATTTGGGGACTCAAAAAGAAAAGAAAAATAGAAGGAAAAAGAAACTATTATGCTTGCCGACTCTGATTGCAACGTTAAGTATTAAAATTGACAGGTTCATTCTGCTGTGTAGATTTTCCTTTTGAATTAGTAAAATAGCCACTTGAAGAGTTTGTTGGAGTCAAGTGTATGTTATTAAAGCCGAAAATATGGTATCATGTTGACTTTAAATCAAATAAAGCTCTAGCAATGCCTTCTTAGCTTAGAAGACGAGGATTGAATCTGGTTATAACCTTTCTGCATTTAAATTCCAGAAGAAAGTTATAAGCACATAGCCATATACATACTGACTGCCACTGTTTTTCTAGTAATGTAATCTACTTGTATGTAATAAAATCGGTGCTACCTAAAAGTAAGTCAATTTCTCATAAGATTTCAAATTATTATGAATGGACAAATATTCTAATTATTTTATCAAGAACAATGTCAGCTGACTGGTTGGGTAAGATTCGCATGCAAGTTGCAACCAGTAGTGAATGATCCTGTCCGGCAAGCACGAATCAGTTTGGTCATAGACTCGTAGTCTTTTACGAGCTCGAATATTTTCTGTGCTCTTCTTCTGAATTTATTCTGGATAAACTTTCCAATCTACAGGGACCCCTTTACAGCACATCTACCTATCTCCGTCTCAGTTGCCAAGCTTACCATCTTCTGCAAGGAAAAATTCTCTAGAACACGGTAAACTAGCAAACTCACCAACTTCCTTTTGTTGGAGTGGAAGCTGTTTTCTCCTTACATTTGTTTTCTTTCTCCATTCTCTTTTCATTTTTATTGGATTCTGTTGTGTTGTAAATCAGTGCTTCAGGCTGAATCTGAATCGGCTATATACTCAGATACATCATTTTAGATTTCTTGCTTCTTGTTCGCTTGGTCTTAAGAATTTCATCCCATATATGTTGTAGTGTCCGCAGCGAGTATAACTTCAATGGGTACATCATTTGCTCCATTTGTAGCAAAGCGGAGGTGGCGGTCTAAGCCTTCTTTGTATTCCTCTACTGCACCTGCTCCTTCTCCAGCACCTCAAGGTATCCAATATTCTCAATATCTCAACTAATTTATTTTTATTTTAAGCTGATAAAATCAAACTTATTATATTAGGTGAACTTCCTAGTCCTGCTGGTAGTACCTTGCCAAGGCATCACCACCACGCTCATCGTGTGAGAACTCGTGTGATTTCTCCATCTTCTTCTGCTACACCTGGTAAATGTTCAGTCAATGACATCTTTCTCACCCTCACTCCAATATCTGAGATTGGAAATAGATTTACTTTCTAGGGAGCCAGAAGTCTGTGGCAAGAGGGAAAAAAAGGGGTTTATCTAAGTCTAATTTCCATTGGGCCATGAAATACAAGTAATCTTTCGATATAAACGAGAAATGGAAAACTATCCATTGATGTTATTTTTGGTATTTACGAGCAGCAAAATACAACTCACCTGCCACAATACTCCTGAACATCTTACAAAGACATTGACTAGTGCTCATGCTCTAAGATGACAATTTTGATTTGCTCAACAAAACAACTACTCCTTAATACCGTACAAACTCCATTTTATTAATATTACCTGCTCTACTGTATCTTTTGCTTCTTGTTATTTACGATTTGATATTGTTCATCTCAGCAGCAGTCAACCTCTTGAATATTACCTTTGCTTTTTCTGGCTTTGAAAACCTGAAAAATGGATTGTATATAATCAAGTTATGCTGTGCCAGACTATTAAGCCTAACTTCCATTATATCTTGATGGGATGGAGAAGAAACAACACTAAGAAACTGTAGGCGTTTGTAATCTGCTTAATTCTAGCATCATGGAATAATGTATTCCTGCTGTTATAATATTGGTAAACAGTTGGTCCTCTTAGATTTTTTTAAGTCTTCTTCTGCAGCGGCATCCGTCTAGTTCCTTAAAGTTTACAGATAAAAGGGGATCAAAAGAATGATATAATGTTTCTGGATTCGTTGAATTTTGAGAATGATTGAAAAGAAACAAGTCAGTAAACCTTGAACAATCATGTCAGCAAAGAGTTGGCTCCAGAAGGTGGATTTTCTTTTAGCACTAGAATGTAGATTTTGAAGTGTGCTAGAGGTAAGTATTGAAGTGTGAAAATGATAGAAAAGAAACTCAATAGTAAGCCCTGAACAATCATGTCAGCAAAGAGTTGGCTCCAGAAGGGAGTTTCCTTTTAGCATTAGAAATTGGATTTTGAAGGTGCTAGAGGCAAGTATTGAAGTGTGAAAATGATAGAAGAGAAACTCAATAGTGAGCCCTGAACAATCATGTCAGCAAAGAGTATGCTCCAGAAGGGGCTTTTCTTTTAGCATTAGAAATTTTGAGGTATGCTAGAGATAAGTATCTTATTTTGTATTCTGATAAAAAATGAATTGAAAATTACATGCTACAAGTAAAGTTCTTATAAATCATGAATAGTGTGAAACCTTCACTTTATCATCTATTTATTTGGGCTACTTGAAACTGAGGATCCAAGGGGCCTTGTCATTGTTATTAGATATGTCGCTGACGCTCTCCATTTGTCTTCAAGTTGTTTTGGCCAACATAAGACTCAACTCAGGAAAGCCTTGATCTCCTAAGATGCTCCTATTTCTCATGACCTCCAAAGGGATTATGTAATGAGTTCAGGTTCTGTTGGTCTTCATAAGCATAAATTACTTGTTTTATCTGAGGAATGCATATTTTTAGGCTGTAGTCACCTTCTTCAGATCATCAACATGCCTAATCCACAAACCTACTAAAATTTCCTTCCTTTCGTTTACTGCTATTGTTTTTACTCCCTTTTTAGATTATATATTGAGAAGAACTTTTATAAATAATCTTAACAGGTTGTGGTCAAACTTGTGCGGAGCCATTTACTTCAGCTCCAATTGGCTCACCTTGTGCTTGTCTACTTCCAATGAAAGTCAAACTTTTGCTGGGTGTATCACCCTACCTTATCTTCTCAGAGGTCAATGAGCTAGCGATTGAGGTTGCAGCAGGCACCTACCTAATGCAAAGTCAAGTGATGATAATTGGTGCTACTGCTGATAGTCATGATCAGGGAAGAACAGTAGTTGATATTAATTTGGTGCCACTGGGGGATAAGTTTGATAATACAACTGCTATGTTGACTTACCATAGATTTTTGCATAAGAAGATACCTCTAAATAGGACCCTTTTTGGTGATTATGAAGTATTACACATTACTTATCCAGGTACAATCCAAACTTCTTATGTCTATGCTTTACCACTTCAATTTTCTATTTTAGAGACTAAAAAACATTAGTACAGGTCTCCCTTCTTCACCACCATCTGGCATTTTATCTGGTGACGGTCCAAGTGGAAGTGCCGGAAATCAGCAATACCCTATTACTGCAGATTTAGTTGACAAAAATCAGAAAATGAGCCCTCGAGTAATTTTTGTCATTGCTTTGTCGGCATTTGTACTCTTGGTAGTTTGTTGTACCACAGTTGCTTTACTATTGAAGTGCAGGAAAGCTGGTAGACCATCCAATGCTGTTGATCCAGTGTTTACATCATCTATAAACAAAAGATCTGGTAAGCATGTAAGCCATGTTTGCATTACATCTGTCTAAAATGAATATGGACACATTTTAGAACTGATGTGCAGAGACTGAGTGGCAAATAAAAGAATTTTATCTTTCTTTCACTTCTGCTAAACTCTTATAACCCCTGTCTGTGTGTGGAATTGCTGACACAAAATTCTTCACGTTATCAAGCAAGGCTGAGATGGATTTCGTGATGGTTGTAGGTTTATTATGTATTCAGACACATCTGAAAGATGTCCTGTTGGTCATTATATGTATCTGCTTGTGCAGTGAGTACAATTATAAAAATATTTATGTTCCTGTAGTTGTGATTGTTCTTTTCTCCTTGTTTTATTTGTTTGGCTTGCATAAACATCAATATTTGTAGTTAGTCAGAACACAATTAGCCTACTCATGAAAGCACAAGATAAAGCCACGATGATCAGCTGTTGTCATGTTTGAAATAAAAACAAATTTGTTTATTTATGGCGCCTATTTTTTTTCCTATGTATATGCCTTGTAATAACTGGTTGACTTGGCATTGATTTCTCATCCGATATGAGATGTCATTGCTTATATTAGCATTGTTGGCCATACTTTTCTTCAAACATGTCAAATTTCTAAAGCTGTTGGAGATTTTAAATGCATTTGAATTTTCTTTTATGTTGCAGGACTTGGTTCTGTGAGGTCAAGTAGCCCAGCCAGTTCAACATCTGCGTCTCTTGTCTCTGCCATGCCTGCATCTGTTCTTTCTGTTAAAACATTTAGACTTATAGAGCTGGAGAAAGCCACTGACAAATTCAGTTCAAAAAGGATTTTAGGTGAAGGAGGTTTTGGACGTGTTTATCTTGGGATCATGGAAGATGCAACTGAAGTAGCTGTGAAATTACTGACAAGGGACAATCAGAATGGAGACCGTGAATTTATTGCTGAAGTTGAGATGCTAAGCCGATTGCACCATCGCAACCTTGTGAAATTAATTGGTATATGCATTGAAGAACGTACACGCTGCTTGGTCTATGAGGTTGTTCCAAATGGCAGTGTTGAGTCCCACTTACACGGTATACTTTTTTTTTTTTTTATTTGCTTAATCTAATTGAAAGCTTCACTTCATCAGGATCTGCCCGGTGGGGGAATGGGGGTGAGTCATAATGGAACGTGTGTGATCCTGGCATTTAATATTTGTGTCTTACAATAACATAGCAGAAACACCTTTAGTTTTAAGAAGAGATGAACTAATTTGGCCCGAAATTTTGACTCGATCCACTAGCTGATGTTTCAGGTGCTGACAAGAGCAAGGCGCCTCTTGATTGGGATGCACGATTGAAGATAGCTCTTGGTGCAGCGAGGGGACTGGCTTACCTTCATGAAGATTCTAATCCTCGTGTTATTCATCGAGACTTCAAAGCCAGTAATGTTTTACTAGAAGATGATTTTACTCCCAAGGTTTCTGATTTTGGTTTGGCAAGGGAAGCAACAGAAGGAAGTCATCATATATCTACTCGTGTTATGGGAACTTTTGGGTATGTTTCTTTGCTGCAAAAAAGGAAACTGTATCTATCCTAGAATCCTTTTTGTGGAACCAAACTATACCATTAAACTTCTTTGTCTGGAATGTTGAAATAATGAATATAAGGTGCATGCATTGACTGGTTCATTTAGGCCTTGTATGGGAGGGATTAAAATCGGATTAAAATTGAAAATATAGCCGTTATTGTTGACTTTTATTAGACGAGTGGACCCAATAACGGCCATATTTTCAATTTTAATTGGCTTTTAATCTCTCCCGAACGGGGCCTTAATGTATTAACTTAAGGAACGCGATTTAGTTAACCTTATGAATGACTATAACTTAAAAGGGTGGTGAATAATTCTCCTCTCTTTTTTCTGTTGGTGGTAATGTGAAATTTGCCTTACTTTACCAGGTCAAGATCATATGCCTAGGTTGATATAGCATTTTTTAACATTTGCCTTTAAACTGTGGTTGCAGGTACGTTGCTCCTGAGTATGCTATGACAGGGCATTTACTTGTTAAAAGTGATGTTTACAGTTATGGGGTTGTGCTATTAGAGCTTCTCTCAGGAAGGAAGCCTGTGGATATGACTCAACCTCACGGACAAGAAAACCTCGTGACTTGGGCACGATCTCTACTGACGAGCAGAGAAGGTTTGGAGCAATTAGTGGATCCCTCCTTGGCCGGGAGCTATGATTTCGATGACATGGCAAAGGTGGCTGCCATTGCTTCCATGTGCGTTCATCCCGAGGTGACTCATCGACCATTCATGGGAGAAGTAGTTCAGGCACTCAAACTCATCTATAATGACGACACAGGCGAAACTTGTGGGGATGCTTGTAGTCAGAAGGAGTCTTCAGCTCGTGATTCAGACTACAAAGGTGATTCCGTGCCTTCTGATAGCAGTTGGTGGAATGCGGGTGGGATTACCCCACGGTTGACATACGGACATGCCTCGTCTTTCATAACTATGGAGTACAGTTCAGATCATCTTGAAGTGTTGGAAAGCAGAAGACAGTATCCAGCTTCAGTTGAGGGTGGAGTTGCATTGCCAATAAGGCACGGTAATAGATCAGGTCCTTTGAGGACAGTCAGGAGTAACCGAGCTTTTTACAGATTACAGGGGAGTATGAGTGAACATGGTGGGCTCCTCTCAAGACGTGCTTGGAATGATGGTACCGGGTTTGAAGCTTCTTTTTAGCGTTTTTAAGGTGTACAGTACCGAATGGCCGTTGTTATTGAGAACATTGGTTTTCTCGGTGTAGTTTAAGCAGTCGAAATTTACTTGATTTCGATTTCCTTGTGGAGAAGGCATGGAAGTGGTGGACAATGGCTTCTAATTTTGTTAATAAAAATTCATTAACATACAGACAAGTTGGATAATCAAGTGTATATGCAATCAATTAATATTTGGTTCTTCATTTGTTGATTGAATTAGTAGCTCTTCATTTACTCTCTCTCCTTTGTAAGTTTAGTTTGTAGTTATTTAACTGTGGAATTGCAGCCTCCCAGATTTTTGAACTTTCCATTTCAAAATTCAGATTTACAAGTTTTTATTTCAAAAATTAGATGATAATTAAAATTTTCAAAAATTAATAATTATTTTACAAAATTAAATATACATATTCATTCCATCAAACCATAAACACCAAACCTTAATTATTTTGTCCTTTTCATTTTCTCTCATCTCTCTATCCCACCTCTCTAGCCATTCGGCGTCGGCGTCAGCACAACCAACTCTAGCACTACTTCACTTCTCTCTATCTATTCTCACCCTCTCTCCATTGCGAAGCGAGCTGAGAGCGTTGGAGTGAGGCCTCTTGAAGCTGTCAGGGTGAAGCTGCACGAAGTAGCTTGACACCACCACCGTCATCACAGGTCGCTATTGTGTCGCCTCGCCTCATTCTCTCTCCCTGTTCTACTCCGACGAACACCGTACGCAAGCCATCGTTATGTCACGACACTATATCAATGTGCAGCGGCCTTTGCAGGCTACGAAGATGAAGCTGTGTCGCACTCTCAATGGTAAGGTGGTGGCGATGTCAAGTTAGATTGATGGCGTTGTGGGTTGCAGGCGCTACGCTGAAGCCTTGGGTGTTATGGTTGCGGCTCTTGTTTTCCACCGACTAACGTCGATGTGTTGGATGAATAGTGAAGTTTATGGTTTCAATTGCATTTTTTTTTAAAAAAAAATTTGGGCAGATCTTCATGGTGCTGCTATGGAAGCATCGTCACGACGCCCGTATTTACGCGTTGCGATGGCGGGTTGCAAGCTTTGCGGTGGCGGTTTGCAAGTCATGGTTGCAATTGGTATTTTTCGGTGACGGGGGTTGTTACCGTGGTTGTGGATGAATAGTGGATGTGGTTTTGTTGATGGCGACGACGAGACAGTGGTGGTACGACAGACGATGTGGTGATGTTTTTCTGCGATGTGCTGATTTGTTTGAGGTGGTGGTGTTGCTGTCGGGAGGTATTGGTGGTGGTTCTGGCGGCAAAGATGGAAGTGTTGGAGGGAGTGGTGCGATGGTAGTTACAAATTATTTGGTTGATTGTGACCATTAAATTTGTTAATCTGTGACATAAAATTTCTGATTTGTGATTGAAATATAATATGTGACTAATTACATCGTTAATTTGTACCAACTTGTATAGATTTGTCACCTTAAAATATTTAATGAGTAAAATATATAATCAATTAATTAAATCATGAATAAATTTTAATTATTATTTGATTTTTAAAACTTGAAACATTTGTTCTTAATTATAAAATGGGTGATACTTAACGTCTTATTTATGAATTTTCCTTATTTAATTCCCTATAAATATGTTCATTTTCTTAAACTTGGGCCTTAAATATGGTAAGAATGTGCAATTAGGGCCGGACTTGAATAACCAAAACAATCGAGCGGGCCATATTTTATCAATTAGGCCTCGGATAATTAATTCGAAATTATTCAAAATTAAAATCATTACTTAACTTTGTCTCAAATCTCAATATCAAGCTACCCAACTTCTCAGCCATGATTAATGCTTAATTTCTAATATCAACCTACTATAGTGTTTTCCACTAACACTTCGATGCTATTGTGACTTCTAGGTGTAAAATCATTATGTTAAATATAATTATTCTATGTAGCATTGTTAAATATTACGCAAGACCACCGTATTCGAGCACCATAAATAATGTAACGAGAAAATAAATCTTGAAATAATATATAATTTGCAATATTCTAGAATGCATGACCACAAGACTATTGTTGTAATTATAACATAAAAAAAAATATATCATCGTATTACTTAATATTTAAGGGAAATACATCAATCGTACATAAATCAGACATAAGTTTTTAATACAAGACTTTTTTTTATTGAAAATAAAATTGAACTGTCTAAATGCCCTTTTGATAAGGCTTCTGTTTGTTTTTTCACTTTTTTTTTATAAGAATTTCTTTATAAAGTTATCTTATGTCAGCTTTCTTTAAAAATACTTTCAAACAAACAACACTTTCAAAAAATTATAACATATTCAAAAACAGCTGGTTTGAAAGTAGCTTCTTAATCTCAAAAATAATTTTAAAAACTTCTGCTAAACGGGTCCTAATTTGATTTAGAGCATATTTGAGCTCTATTTTTTTTTTTTTAATCCAAAATGTATTTTGGAATAGTATTTTGATGGAGAATGTGCGCTTAAAAAATAAGAATTTTTTTTTTTTTGAATTTACATGTAATATTATTTTATTAAAAAATATGTAAATAAAAATAGGAGAGAAATATGTTTTAAAAAGAATAAGGAGCAATGGCTAAAATGCATTTGTATTATTTTAATAGAAAATAGGGAATATTCCACGTAATCCCGTTTGACATGGTGGTGATTTAGAAAAATCACTCTCACCAATATTTTGTTAAAACGTTGTCTTTGCACATCCTCAAATGCGTCAAACTTTAATATTTAGACGCGTAACAACGTGTACCTATGTATACCCTATGCAACTTTTATGTCCACGTGCAACCATCTCACGCTCCATCACGATGTAAAGCCACACTTTTTCTCCTCATTTTCTTTTATTTATTCATGTCCATTATTACCCTTTTCTGGAAATGGAATACCGGAACTGTCAATTGTGGACACTTTGTACTCTTGTTGAGCCACTTGGAATGGGTGGTTTTTGAAACATTCAAGCATTTCACGGTGCACTCCACGCCGCCTTGAGATCGGGGTGGACAATCTCGATTGAGCGTATAGTGTATTTCGCAATTTTATTTTTAAATTCATCAAGTCGTCTATAGAGATAAAATGTTTAGAATGTTGAGTAAAATCTTGAGTTCAAATACTTTCATTTGTTTCTTTTCTTCACTTTAAAAAAATTAAATGAACTTTAAATTTCACGTGATCAAGAGCAATAATTTCTTGACAGGGAACAACTTTATGCAATAGACATTTTGCACTAAAGAGTTTGCTCTCTTTATGATATTTCTTTTTTCATTTTAATAAAATCGAGACATTGCAGATATAGAATTAGACAATCAAATTTGAAACGACTCTTAAAAATATGTGCCATATTAAGCCATCTTTTTGGAGAAATATTATTTTAAATAGTAATTTTTTGAAGAATGTACGGTTAAAAGGTAGGAAAATTTTTGAATTTACTTGTAGAATAAAAAAGAGTTTTGAACAACGATATTTTTTCTTTTGACTTCTTTGTTATGTTTTTTTTTTCCCATGATATAATGAGGGGAGCAACACTAAACACCTTGGTATTTAAAAATGTGGGCGCTGTCGGAATCCTGAAATTCCGAAGTTTGCCATTCGTTGTAATAATGCATATCAGAGGGGCATTAATGGAATTTCATAACTTAATAAACATTTTAATTGTTCTTAAATTTAATTAGTAATTACCTAATATAACTGGCTTACTGGCGCAGACCAAATCCCAAACAACGTGGGAGAGAGTAGTAAAAGAAGTGTTTGACTCTCTCTCTCTCTCTCTCTCTCATATTTCTTATTTTTTCTTCCTTAAATCACGTTACTTTTCCAATTTTATTATTATTTTTTATTTGGAGCGGTGAATATACAAATCCCATTCTCTCGTCAGATCTTTATTATTTTCTGTTCTATTTTTATCAGAACATTTCAAGAAAATCAAATACTTGTAAATAACAAGTTGGGGATCTATTGTTTGTAGTTGAAGTGAATTTTTTCATTCTTTAAGTGGAGGAGGCAGTGTTGATTTGATCTGCTTCTTGTGAACATTGTTGGTTTCTTGAAAATTTGATGGCTGATTAATAAAGCACTGGAGATTCTGATCCGTTTGAAGTTATTTTGAAAATGGTATAGAATTATTATTTAACTCTTTTCTGGTGATGCTTAATCTTCATCTTTGATAGCTTGAGATAAGTTGATCTGTGGCTAATTCAGTAAAGGTTTAGTCTTTTTCATTGTTATAAATGATGATGGATTTCTTTATGAATGTATTTGTTTTACTACCAATATTAACTTACAATCTTTTGGGTTGAATCTTAATATTCGTGGTCTATGAATTTAGTGAAGTGATTTCTGCCTGGTCCAGCCTTTTTGGAGTGGGTGGGGATGGGGAAATGGAGGGGTGGATCCCTGGTTTTAAGTTGCAACTAAAAGGTTTGACTTCAATTTACTTGAAGAGCAGACAATGTACTGGAATGCAGTAATTAATGAATTTGTTGAATGATTGCCCGAAATCAATTTTTCATGTCATTTGGTGTTGAAGATAATATCTAAATGATACGCATTTGTCTTGATGTCCCACTTAAAATTTTAGATCAAGTGGTTTAACATTTACAAATGATATATGGGTAATTGCTCGCAATGTTATGGTTGATTGTGGAAAGATTTTCTTGGCATTGGTGATAGTTTATATATTCTATAAGTTCCGGGGTCGTTGCCTCAATGTGAGACTTGGGAACTCTTTTCTCCCTAGTGGTAGTGGTGGGGATCTGCATGCAGCCAACTGAAATATTTATATGGTCAATATATAAACAATGATATGCATAAAGAAGAAAATATTATCATTGTCTTCTCTCTTAGTTTTCTTTAATTCTTTATTTGATGGAAAATTGCTTTCTTGTGATCTCTGGCAAAATAGCCCCGGACTGAAGCATTGGTAGCCATGCTCATTATGAAGAAAACTTGTGAATGTGCATATATTTGAAAATTGCACATCACATAATTCACAAAAGTTAGTTTCATAAAATTAGTGTTTGTTTGGAAGAGATTAAGTGAATGAAAAATGATTTTTTTGGAGAATATATGGTTAAAAAAGTGGGAAGAGAAGTTATGGATCCATGTGCAAAATTATTTTATTGGGAGAATGTGTGATTGAAAAATGAGTTTGGGGGAAAATTGTTTTCAAATAAGTTGTGCCAAGCAAACACTTAGATTGAGATATAATTTTTATCACCCAGTTAACAATCAATGGATGATATTAAATCTGTAAATAATGTAACTGGCAACTTGTAGTCTGAGACTCTGAGGGCATGTTTGAGCCCCATTTTTTTTTTTGTATAAAATACATTTTAGAATAGTAGATTGATGGAGAATGCGTGGTTAAAAAATAAGGAAAAGTTTTGGATTTGTTTGTAATATTATTTTATTGTGTGAATGTGTGGTTGAAAGGAAGTGAGAGAAAAATATATTTTGGAAAAAATGGGGATCAAACAAGGGCTGAATTTCAACAACGGTCTTCCCTGGACTTAGTGTATTATTTTCTTCTATCCTTGCCTTTCTGGAAATTGCTCTTTATTACTCCATATTGAATACTGGTCACTGAAATTTTGTAGGTTGCTTCAGTCAGTTTAGGGGTTGGGTCTCTTGTTTGGGTGGAGGATGCTGGTGAAGCCTGGATAGATGGGGAGGTTGTGGCAGTCAATGGTGAAGACATCAAGGTCCTTTCTACATCAGGGAAGACGGTAAGTTGTCATCGGAAGTTAAATATTTACTATGTTAAACACTTTCGTTATCTATTGAAACTGTCTCTTTGCATTAGTTATTCCCATAATGTGTACTTATAGTTATATTGTCCTGCTAATTAAATGTAGCCATTAAGGGTTGAATGGATTTTGGACCCTTCTAATATTTCTACTAAGATTTTCTACAGGTTGTTGTTAAGTCATCCAATGTCTATCCCAAAGATGCCGAAGCCCCACCATGCGGAGTGGATGACATGACAAAGTTGGCATATTTGCATGAACCTGGAGCTCTACACAATTTAAAATCTAGATACGATATCAATGAAATTTATGTAAGTTTTACAATATCTTTTTCATTTTCAGGAAAATTTTCCTTCTCATT